ACACGCTGTGGTTGAGGACGTGATACCGAGGGAGATAAGCTAGACACCAAGGGACAAGCAAGGACTATTTCTGCTTCATGAGGTGCCTCCTGTTGCCGGGCTGTTGGGGATTTTCCAGAGGTACCGAGAGGCCTTCTGCCCATGTGACTTGATTCTCCTTCAGTGAGGGCAGGGCGACACCAGAGCAGAATGTTTGGTAAGAACAGATCGCAGGTGGAAACAGGTGATGCCGACGCCAGAAAGCCTAGGTGTGGGCTGCCAAACTGGAGAATGGGGCCACTTGACAGCAATTCAGTTGTTCTTAGCTTCCTTAACAACCAGGCCATGAAATGAAAAACCAGAGACATTCCAGGCAAGCTCTATTTGAAGGAAAAATGACATCAATTTCACCAATTACCATATGAAGTAGACAAGTCCCTCTCTGGTGACAGCACTACTGGCTCAGGGTTAGAGAGGCTCAATGGGATTCAGGCTCCAGCATCAGGCAGCCACCCTGGGGGTTCCTCCCACACAGAAGGTGCCACCACCCCAGCGTCTGAGGCAGAAGGCTGGGGTGGGCTCCAGAGTGTGCATTTCCATCTTGGGCACAGGAGATGTTGTTGTGCTGCTTTGGGGGCCCCCCTCAGAGGCACTGGTAGAGAATGTAACCCCTCCTTTTGGGGGTACTTACTGGAGCTATGAGTCCTTGTCTATCCCTGTATAAGCTCCGGGCCATGCAGGTAGGTGGCGGCTCTGTGAAAATCCGTGCCCAGGGGCCTGAGCAGCTCCTTCCCACCTGCTTCCCCCACCTGTTCATCTGGTCCCCATCTGCCACCCACCCCCACCTCCCACGGTGTCCCTGAGTCACCCAGCTGGGAGGCTGCAGCATGCTGTTGGCGGTGGGTCCAGCTGCCAAGGAACTGTGTCTGAGGCAGCCAAGGACCTGCACATTCACTGGGGCACAGCCAGAGCTGGATGCCAGGGATGGAATTTCTGGACAGCTGGGTCTGCCGCTCATTGCCCAGCCAGGTATCTCCCTTGGAGCCTGCGGCTGCTGCCTCCTGGTCTTCTCCTGAGCACATGTGCCCAGGGGGGAAAGGTGGGGAGACTTAGTGGCGCGTCCCTGAGCTGTGCCTTGTGCTCTGTGGGTGCCCGATCAGTCTGGCTTTGCGGGAGCCCTGGGCCTCCGGCCTGCACTGTGCTCTGCAGAGCTTTGGTGGGTGTGGTCAGCATAGGCAGGTGACTAAGGCTTAGCTGTGTCAGCTCCGATTCCTGCTTTCTTGTCTTGAGACACCTTCATTACAACGACGGGTGACAATCTGTAGGCTTATTATGGAATATTATTTAGCACATGAGCTTTTGTGGGTTTTTTTTGTATTTTGTGCAGTTCTCACTACATAGCTTGGACTCATAATGATCCTCTTGTTTTCAGCCTCCCCAGTGCTGGAATTACAGGCGTGCCCTACCACACCTGGACTCGGTCGTCTGCTCAGCATGCCAGGGGCAGGGCTGGCACGGCTGGCATGGCATGTGGTGCCAGGGATCAAACCCTGGCCCCTGCACTTACCTAAGCAGGCACTTAGTCTGCTGAGCTATCTCGGTGGCCTTTTTTTTTTTTCTAGTAAACTAAAATTTTTATTGTGAGATAATGTAACATTTATCATCTTAGCCATTTTTTAATGCATGGTTCAGTATTAAGTGTATTCTTGTTGTTCAACATGTAGAGCTATTATTCCTTCTGGTGAAACTGACTACGCCCATTGAAGAGCCCCCCACTTTGCACCCCCACCCAGCTCTTGGATCATGAAGGTGTTTTCTCTTCTTCAGCCTTAGATCTTATTTTCTGTGCATTTGTTCCAAAGGAGGCGATGGTGCCTTGGGATAAAGAGTAGACATGAGTCTGAACTACTCTCAACCCAGCAGGAAGCAGAGAGGGCTTCTAGCAAGGTAGTCTGTCCTGTAGTCTTATTCTCCCTGATAGTTGTAATCATTCCATGCAGATTTATTTATTTTTTATGCAGACCAAAATACTACTGAGATGTTAGCATATTATTCCTTTAAGCCTATACATATATATATATATATATTTTTTTTTTCTTTTTCTTTTTTTCCTGTATTTAGGGCAGGATCTACAGGGCCTACAGGGTCTCACTATGTAAATCCGACTCATAGTGATCCTCCTGTTTTCAGCCTCCCAAGCGCTGGGATTACAGGCATGTGCCACCACGCCCAATCTTGGTGGCTGGCTCAGCGCGGAGCCAGTATAGCAGGTGGTACTGGCAACTGAAGCCAGGTCCTTGCACTTGCCGAGGCAAGTGATTAGACCGTGGAGCTATCTCCACAGCCCAACCTGTAGGATTCTTGAGTGACTGTATATTTGGCTAGTGTTGACATGACAGTCATGGTTTATTTTTGTTTCTTTTTCTTTTTTGGTGCTGGGCACTGAGCCTCATACATTGTGGGCATAGTATCTTCTTCCTCTGCTGTGGGCTCTCCGCCCACCTTTCGTGTTCAGACTGCATCTTAAGGGACCCTGCCCAGCTTGAATTGACTCCTCCATAATGTTGAGTTTTCATTCTTTCAGTTTTTCATGTTTTGAACTGAGATTTACCAGTTTGAGCCTGACCCTCACACTGACTGTTTCAGGAGAAATTTGAATTGGAGTCACTGGGTGGTTCTTGAAATACCAAACAAGAAGAAGTTGCGTGCTTTCCCTTTTTCCCTCAGGGTTGAGGGTAGATACTGAAGACATGATTTCAGAGCTGGTCTATGGTCAGGTTTGAGAGAACCGACTCCTATGTCATTGTTGAGAAAAGGAAATTTGGGGAAAAAACAAAAAGTGAGAACAGAACGAGTAAATGTGTCCCCTTCCCTTTTGTCTTTGTGGTAAAGAATATTAAGTTACACAAAGGTAGGGCTTATTTGATCTGATGGCAGTTTTCAGTTCCAGCTGGGACACCTCTAATCCCTGTGTCCCACAGAAGCTTCCGCTCTGTGCTCGCCTGGCTTGTGGGCTTGGCGCCGTTGCTGACTGCCCTGCTCGGCTCGACCTGAGCTGGCCCTGGCCACACTACATGCCGCGGTCAGCGCTTTTAGCTGCTGCTGCGGTGCAGAGAGAGAGAGAGAGGTGGCACCAACCGGGAAGTGTTTCAGTGCCCCGGTGGAAAACTCTCCCTTCTGGATTATGACTATGATCATTCAGCTAAATCTAGCCAAGGAGAGTATTCAAGTTCTCATCTCTGTTCCTACTGTATTCTGTCACTGCTTCCCCCTTGATCACCTTGGCCCTAGAGGCTCTGAGTCCCACTTTTGCCATATTATGGAAAGGAAACTCAAGAGGGCATGGTGCCTTGGGCTTTCTCTATTCACGTCAACTCTGACACCTGTGCATTGTTCGAGTTTTTCTTCATCTCTTGTCCTTGCGACATTTTCTAGAGCCTCTTGAGGTTCTTGTAACTAAGAGCTTCCAAGAAGAGGTGTGTATTAGGCAGTTTTGTATTACTATAATTAAATAATGGAGACAGGTAACATATAAAGAGAAAAAGGTTTATGGAGTTCTCTATTTTGGAGGGTCAAGAAAAGATCAGGCAGACCTACTGCTTTGGCCTCAGGTGAAAGCACCAGAGGTCATTGGTGGGAATGAATGTCAGAGTGACAGGATGGTCACATCTCCAACCAAGAATCAGGACAGGTGACTTTAGGCTTTTCCTCAGGGCACCTCCTTCCAAAAGTCTATAGCATTTTCCAATAGCACCACCCAGGAACCTTCATATGTGGACTCGTTGGGGGCACAAATTATGCTCAGACTGCAGCAAGGACAACAGGGAGGAGAGCATAGCCTTTTCTGTTATTATAATTTGTCTTGATGACGAACTTTGGCAAGGATGAGAACTTCAGGGAGAAAAGAAGGAAATGGATGTTTTGGCTAGACACCCCTGGGTTTGAGTCCAGTCGTGGTTGACTGGCTGTGTGTCTTGAGCAGGTGGCTTTACCTCGATGAGCCTGTTTCCCTGCTGAGGGTGGGACGGAGGGCACCCTTGACTGGGGTGGTGACGGTCAGAGTCAGGCAGGCTGCCACACGGCAGGCATCCCTCCCCTCCCCTCCCTCCCTCCCTTCCCTCCCCTCCCTCCCCTCCCCTCCC